AAGTCTTTATAAAGAAATATTTAAAAAAATCCACGAAAAATATTTTTCAAAAATCCACGCCTTATATGGAACCTAAAAAATATATTTAAAAAATTTACAGTTTTATCCAAACTATTATTTTACAATTCTCTACTTCTGAAACTGATATCCTTTTCGAAAATATTCTGAAATAACTCATATATGAAACCATTACCACTTCCACTGGCAGGTTCTCAAAATTTCTCAAATATGCATTTCATGTGAATATTCATATGATAACAACTAAAATGTCAATAAGCCGGTAATTAGAAAACTTTTCCAAAAATCCCCACCCCCGTTCACAATAATCCATAATGAAACATTTTGCATGAAAATTTAATCGGAATATGTGTCAGTGCCTTAATCCGACTGAAACGAATAATTTATTTGCTCGAAGTTATCGCTTAAATATGTCCAAATTAGTCCCAAATGAATTTTCAATGATGCTGTTATTATTGTCGATGATGTTGTTGTTGTTAATGTCATTGTTGTAGTTGTTATTCCGAATTCAGCATAAAATCGAACTTAATACATTAAGTACAACAGAGTACATATTGTGATACACACACACACACCTACATACATATATAGGATGCTGTTCATGTATTCATTGATGCAATTCGAAACTTAATGAAGTATTTGTAATTGCCAATGCACAATTACAACACATGACAATTGCCTGACGTTGTTCCTTGCCCTCAGAACAAGGATGCATTATCTGATTACAGTTGCAGGACAGATGTGACATGAGCTCGAGGTTTGACAATTGAGAATATGCAATTTTGTTCTGGTTCTGGAATTACTGGTTTTATAGCAAAAGGAAAGGATTAATTTTTCAAGAACCACAAACGTGATTTTTTAAAAAATATTTTTTCAGGGCCTATATGAAAATAGTTTTTAGTTTTTATTTTTTCAGGGTCCATATGAGGCGTGGATTTTTTTAAGAATAGTTTTTCAGGGTCCATATGAAGCGTTGATTTTTTAAGGAATAGTTTTTCAGGGTCCATATGAGGCGTTGATTTTTTAAAGATTATTTTTTCAGGGTCCATATGAGGCGTGGATTTTTTAAAGATTATTTTTTCAGGGTCCATATGAGGCGTGGATTTTTTAAAGATTATTTTTTCAGGGTCCATATGAGGCGTTGATTTTTTAAAGATTATTTTTTTCAGGGTCAATTTAAGGCGGGAATTTTTTAAAGAATAGTTTTTAGGGTCCATATGAGGCGTGGATTTTTTAAGGATATTTTTTAAGGGTCCACAAGAGGCGTGGATTTTTTAAAGAATATTTTTTAAGGGTTCACAAGAGGCGTGGATTTTTTAAAGAATAGTTTTTAGGGTCCATATGAGGCGTGGATTTTTTAAGGATATTTTTTAAGGGTCCACAAGAGGCGTGGATTTTTTAAAGAATATTTTTTTAAAGGGTCCACATGAGTCGTGGATTTTTCAAAGAATATTTTTTTCAGGGTCCATATGAGTCGTGGATTTTTAAAATAATATTTTTTTAAGGGTCCACATGAGGCGTGGATTTTTCAAAGAATATTTTTTTAAAGGGCCCACATGAGTCGTGGATTTTTCAAAGAATATTTTTTTCAGGGTCCACATGAGGCGTGGATTTTTCAAAGAATATGTTTTTAAGGGTCCACATGAGGCGTGGATTTTTCAAAGAATATTTTTTTAAAGGGTCCACATGAGTCGTGGATTTTTCAAAGAATATTTTTTTCAGGGTCCATATGAGTCGTGGATTTTTCAAAGAATATGTTTTTAAGGGTCCACATGAGTCGTGGATTTTTCAAAGAATATTTTTTTAAAGGGCCCACATGAGGCTTTGATTTTTCAAAGAATATTTTTTTAAAGGGCCCACATGAGGCTTTGATTTTTCAAAGAAAACATTCTAGTGACCAGAAGACCTAGACCCTTTAATACTTTTATTAGGTGTTAGGTTGAGATAATCTTCTACATTTTTTTCGTTAATCCTCAAGTAAATATTTGTTTTCCTTTTTGGCTAATTTGAAAAAAAGGGTTCACAAGGCCATAATCCCCGCATTTCTTCAGACATAATGTCAATAAAACTTATTGCAATTCTTCTTGACGATAAAACAGAAAAATTAACATTTTATTTCTGTTTTCTTTTTTATTTCCATTTCAGCATTATTATTGTCCTTCCTAGAATTGAACACACAAACAGACAGACAAACACAAATGAAAATGGTGGATCCCAAAGTACTCATATCTACAACAACAAAGTATTGATATTGAAAGACCAGTAACCCAAAAACAACAACAACCACAGAAGCAAACACACATAAAAATGAATAAAAATAAATGAAAAGTGGTGAAAAGGCTTCAATTCAAAATAAAAAAATCATCATCATTTTGGAATTGGCAACAGCAGCAGCAGGGACTGGGCTCAACCTGTGCCTAAACGAAAACTGAAGAAGAACCATAAACGAAGCAGTTTCTTTTATGGGACAAACATGAAAAGCCTTTATAATGAAATGAACGTTTTGCGCCTTGGTTGACAGCAGCAACACGACGACGACGAACGACCAAAAAAGGGTTATTTGTCCCCGTTTATGTTTCACTTTTCACGGATAACACCAAAGAGAAAAGTAGACAAACGACCATCCCGCCTCCCCATCATCAGCATCAACATTGTTCGGCAGACGGCCTCCTGAGCCGTTCATTGATGAGAAGAAGCGACAACCAACAGCCATCAAACTTTAGATTGACATAAGAAAGTCGTCGACAGAACAGCACAAAAAATCAATTTTTTTATTTAATGCCCTGGCAAACACCAGGATCAATCTAAAAAAAATCGAAGGAGTAACCAAGAAGGAGAAAAACAGAAAAATACATTTCCATCATACGTGGCCCACAGGACCATATTTAATATTCACTTGTCCGTGTGAGTGAGTTTGTGTGACAGACACACAATCAACGAGACACGAAACAATAACAGCATCCAACCCCAACTTCGTAGACCAACACCAACAACGTTGCCATCATCATCATGGCTGTGCCCATAGATGAGGGCGTCTTAAGTGCCCTCAGGGGTATTACCAGTCGCAATACCCGACTACCCAAACCGTTGCTAATAAAAGTTTATGTATCCAGTTTGAAACAAGGTAAGCGAAATGAACAAATATTTTTTTACGAATATTTTAAAAGAATTATTTTTCGAGACCTCTATGAGCCTATTTGAGGCGTGGATTTATTAAAGAATATTTTGTCAATAAACTATAAGAGGCGTGGATTTTTTAAGGAATATATTTTCGAGGCCTATATAGGGTGTGGATTTTTTAACAATATTTCTTCGGGGCCTATCTGAGGCATGGAATATTTTGTCAAAGGACAATAAGAGGCGTGGAATAAATTTTCAGAGCCTATCAGAGTCGTAGATTTTTTTAAAGAATACTTTTCGGGGCCTATCTGAGTCGTAGATTTTTAAAGAATACTTTTCGGGGTCTTGATGGAACTATTATTCTTTATTGAAGAGCTGAATTTAGTTTTCTTCGAAGAACAGTTCGACGTATCCTTCCTCGTAGAAGAGCTCTAGTTTTATTTCCTTGTGATTCTCAAAAAAGAGGCAAAATTCCTTTTCATCATGGAAGAAGTTAAGGTTTCCTTCTTCATATATGGCCTTCTTTCTCATAGAAGAGTTCAAGGTATTCTTCTTCATAGATGGGTTCGTGGAGTTCTTCCTCATAGAAGGGATCACAAACTTCGTCCACATTAAGACAGTTTTCCTCATAGAAGAGCTTAAGGCCTTCTTCCTCATAAAATACCTGAAGATCTTCTTCTTCTTCTTCATAGAACAGCTGAAAGTTGTCTTCTGAGTCATATAAGAACTGAAAGTCTTCTTCTTTCTCATTAAAGGGAAGAGCTCAGAAGTCTTCTTCCTCATTAAAAGGCTCAAAGTCTTCCTTCCTTCTATGAGTTCAAGACCTTCTTTATAGAAAATCTGAATGACTTCCCATTTAAGGCCCAAATGTGTACTCTATAGAAAAACAAAATATTTGTTCGATACATAATAAGAAATTATTCTCGATAGGAGATCCTCATAGAGGAGCTAAAGGTCGTTTTCTTTCCCATAGAAGAACTGAAACTCTTCTTCCTCATAGAAGAGCTCAATGAATTTCTCAAAAAACAGATCTTAATACCTTCCTTATAGAAGAGGTCAAAATTCTCTTCCTAGAAAAAGTAAATGGGTTCTCTACGGGATAGCAGAATTTGTTCTTTATCTTCTCCGTGTAAGAGAACAGAAGATCTCCCTGAATCATTTTGACATCCAAAAGATTACAAAGTATTCACCAAAGACTTCAAGTAGTTCTTCTCCATAGATTTTTTGAAGTATATTTTTTCGGGGAAGCCGAGATTTTTTAAGAAATATTTTTACAGGCGTGGATTTTTTAAAGACTATTTTCTTTGGAGCCTATATGAGGCCGAGATTTTTTAAGAAATATTTTTTCAGGCGTTGATTTTTTAAAGACTTTTTTTCGGGGTCTATATGAGGCCGGGATTTTTTAATAAATATTTTTTCCGTCGTGGATATTTTGAAGACTATTTTTTTCGGGATCTATATGAGGCCGAGATTTTTTAATAAATATTTTTTCAGGCGTGGATTTGTTAAAGAATATTTTTCTAGAAACCATCAAGGCGTAGATTTTTTATAGAATATTTGTCTAAGGAAAATGTCCTTGTCCTTAAAAAAATCTTTTTTACAAATTCCACGCTATGATACTGCAGATCTTTTAAAAAGTTAGCTACAGGTCATTCCTTTTTCTTCTAAGGCTGCTGGTCTTGAAGAAATACAAATCACCTCTACACATCTCTAGACAATAGAACACCCTTAATATCTTCTATACCGATTGATTATTTATAGACATCGGGAGTCCTCCAGAAGGAGGAAGATGTCTATATTCTTCCCATAACGTCGAACATTATTATTAAAATTATTTTCTTTGTTTTCTTCGTTACAGAATTTTGTCAAGAGCGACGAATGCTATTGGAGCTCGTCGGCCCCGAACTGCAGTCCATGTACGATGATCGACAAATCGAAATTGAATTTGTCGATATGCATTTTGGTACCGGTTCGCTGGATATCACACAACTCGAAAAGGATCCATACATTTTAGAGGATTATTTACACGAGATTGAGACATGCCATCAGAATTCGAAAAGTGTCTTCTTTTTGGTAAGTTGAGGAATAAAAAAAATACATTTTCAAAACGAAAAAAATACTTCAGTTAAAAAAAAATTCATTTAAAACTTATTTATTTCATATTCCAAAAACTGAATTAGTTTTCTTATTTTTTCTTCAAGAATGTCCCTAAGTAGTCCCATCCAAAAGGGCTACTTAGGACGGTCATAGCATTAGCTATTCATAAAAATTACAACAATTTCTTGTTTTATTAAATTTTCTAGAGCAAATTTTATAGGAATGTTTTTTATTCTTCTTCTACTACTACAATATAATTACATGCATAATTATTACATCAATTTTCGTTGTTTTTCTTCCCTCTACTTTTCCCACATGTTTTGCACAATTGATGTGCTGCCTATCTGTCTGCCTACCCGACTGGCTCTTGGTCTTTGGGGGCCCCCATGATCTACACGACTATTGTTTCCAACGAAATTATCATTAATTAGGCTTTAATAGGCGACAGCATTGGTCGGATGCCATTACCCACCCACTTGGCGAAGGAGATCTACGATAGCATTGCGACAGATGGCACTTTAACACACACAGAGCGTCAATTATTTGTCAAGTGGTATTCGGCGGCGACGGCTGTAGCACCAGAGGACTCCACGGCGACTGAAACGTCGGCAGCCTTCAAAGGCATTCAATATCAACTTAAACAGGACTATCGGTAAGTCGAACTGGATCAGTGTGAAATATGTTTACGAATGCTTGTAGTTGATATATTGTTTATATGCTGGAGATTGATGATGATGCTGGCATTAGGGGGGAGATAAATATTGAATACCGAAAACCGTTTTGATGTTCCGCGGAATTAGAAGGACGGCACTAAAAATTATCTCGTTTTACTCAATAAAGAATAATTTTTCAAGATCCATAAGCGTGGATTTGGTAAAGAATATTTTTTAAAGGACCAGAATAGGCGTGAATTTGGTAGAGAATATTTTTTCAAGAAATAGAAGAGGCGTGAATGTGGTAAAGAATATTTTTTCAAGGACTAGAGGAGGCGTGGATTTGGTAAAGAATATTTTTTCAAGGGCTAGAGGAGGCGTGGATTAGGTAAAGGATATTTTTCATGGACTAATATCTTTCAAGGACTAAAGGAGGCGTGGATTAGGTGAAGGATATTTTTTCAAGGACTAATATTTTTCAAGGACTAGAGGAGGCGTGGATTAGGTAAAGGATATTTTTTCAAGGACTAGAGGAGGTGTGAATTAGGTAAAGGATATTTTTTCAAGGACTAGAGGAAGCGTGAATTAGATAAAGGATATTTTTTCAAGGACTAGATGAGGCGTGAATTAGGTAAAGAATCTTTTTTCAAGGAATAGAGGAGGCGTGCTTTCCTTAAAAATCCACGCCTATTTTCATATTGGTTCTTGTAGAAATATTTTTTAAAAAATCTACGCCTATTGTTCTATTGGTCCTTGTAGATTTTTTTTAATTCCACGCCTACTGCCCATTTGGCCCTTGTATTACCCTTGTGTTGCCCTGTCAGTCCTTTTAGAAATATCCTTTAAACATCCACTCATATTGCCCTGATGATCCTCATGGAAATACTCTTCAAAAAACACGCCTATTGTTCTACTGGTCCTTGTAGAAATATTTTTTTAAAAATCCACGCCTACTGCCCTATCCCTTGTATTCCTTGTGTTGTCCTGCCGGTCCTAGTAGAAATATTCTTAAAAAAAATCCATGCCTATTGTCCTGCTGATCCTTGTAGAAATATTCTTTAAAAAATCCTACACATTTTGTCCTGATGATTCTTTGATAAATATTCTTAAAAAAAGTTGCGCATATTGTCCTGCTGGTCCTTGTAGAAATATTCTTTCAAGAATACACGCCTATTGTCCTGCTGGTCCTTGTAGAAATATTCTTTCAAGAATACACGCCTATTGTCCTGCTGGTCCTTGTAGACATATTCTTTAAAAACCCCACGCATTTTGTCCTGATGATCCGTATAGAAATATTTTTTAAAAATCCACGCCTATTGTCCTGATGATCAGTATAGAAATATTCTTTAAAAATCCAAACCTATTGTCCTGATGATCCGTATAGAAATATTTTTTTAAAAATCCACGCCTATTGTCCTGATGATCAGTATAGAAATATTCTTTAAAAATCCAAACCTATTGTCCTGATGATCCGTATAGAAATATTTTTAAAAAATCCACGCCTATTGTCCTGATGATCAGTATAGAAATATTCTTTAAAAATCCACACCTATTGTCCTGATGATCCGTATAGATATATTCTTTAAACAATCCACGCCTATTGTCCTGCTGGTCCTTGTAGAAATATTATTTAAAAAATCCACGCCTATTGCCCTGTAGGATCTTCATTTCCAAAATTTAAGGCTATATTTAAAAATTCTGATATCAATTATTCCTCCTTAAATTGGCCTTTCGCACAAGTTTCGTTAATAATTTGTCGGTCACAGCGAAAATGTCTTTTTCCCCTGACGTTGCCATCATCACCATTGGTACTGTGGTTTCTTTGTTTTATTTGGTGGGTATTCTCTGGATATTTTGTGTCTCATCTTGTTCGGGTACTTCGGTATGGTATCAATGTTAGGTAGGTATGTATGTCTTCCTAACTTATTCTTTTGCCGGAACACAAGTAAATGTTTTTGGTTTTCCACGGTAATTCGTTGCTGTGGCAACACGCTCTCTCTCGTGCTTGGTAAACCTGTTCAGCAGCAGCACTTTTGTGTTAAGTACTTTGGAAAAACCACCACTTCAGCATGCATTAAGAAACAGCAAAAAAACCCGTAGAAGTGTTCTTTTCCCAAGGAGGAGGTTGGAGGGCCATGGGAAAATTGTTTCATAAATTTCTGATGTGCTGCTGCTGACCTTGCAGAACAATGTAAGGGAGGAGGGAGGAAGAATACATTTAAAAATAAATTTAAAACGCTTAACGCTTTAAATTGTTTAGGTATTCTAGGCACCGTCCTGGTAACTATCGTCATAACGGCCATAAAGCGTCTTAATAATGAAATTTCAATTTTCTGGTAATTTATTTTTTTTAAAAGGCCATTTGACGTTCACACAAATCGGACAATTTGTGTCAATTTGTTGAATATTAATTTGCCATTAGGCATGATTGTTTTTCTGGCTGGGCAGGGGCTTAATTAAAGCCTTTAGGATACACACTCTCTCACACACACACACACACTTCTAAAATAGTCCATTAAGGATTCCATTTAATGTTCATAACAAGATTAGTTTGTTATCCTTTTGGCATCAACAGTGCTAGTCGATGGTGCAGCTGGCACCCTCTATACTCCCCCTTCCCACTCCAACCCGACACCATTTCATGTGATTTTACTCAATTTTATGAAATTTCCTGCGATAGGAAAACGGATACATAGCGCAGTAATATGCGATAACAGCAGCAACAAAAACAACAACACGGTGAAACCGTCAGCAATGCCACCATATCAGCCAGCCAGCCAGTCACCCAGCATCCTCTTCCCTCAATATTAAAAAAAAACAACAACATTATTCTGTACCGGATCGATTGAACACGGCGGATGTAACACCAGTAAATATAAATTGACACATTTGACACCCAACAGCCATTTCCATTAGCATCGGAGGACACCTAACCCAACCATTTCACCTAGGCCGGTTCGGCGGCAGCGACGGTGGCATTCATTTATTCATTTCGTTCGTTCGTTTGTTCTTGAGTAATTTGGAATATCAAAAGCTTTGCCACATCCACAGCCATTCGGTGCGATAAAAATGAGCCCTTTGGCTCATAGCAAATAGCGTAAGCCAGTCGGCAAACCAGCTAGGCCATGGCATGCCCGGCTAGGCCACAGACGCTATGTTTGTTTGTTACGTGGCCTATGGCATGGCATTGCTAGCAAATTATGCGCATTATTATGAAGTGAAAGTGGATTAAAGCTTGACATAAATAGAAATAATGACATGATAGACAACAATCGCATCGGGATTAGTTACTGGCAGAAAAAAAGGGATATTTATGAAGAGGTTAGGGATGATGGCTCTACAATCCTACTTAATAAAAATATTGAAGTTTGAGTTTAATTTAAATGGGTTTAGTCATGGATATTGAAGAAAATTTCTACAAGGAGTAGCAGGACAATAGGCGTGGATTTTTTGAGAGAATTTTTCTACAAGAAGTAGCAGGACAATATGCGTGGATTTTTAAGGAATATTTCTCCTGGAATCATAAGACAAATGTGCGTGGATATTTTCAAGAATATTTCTATAAGGACCTGCAGGATAATATGCGTGGATTTTTAATGAATATTTCTACAAAGACCATCAGGACAATAAGCGTAGTTTTTCATGAATATTCCTACAAAGACCAGCAGGACAATAAGTGTAGTTTTTCATGAATATTACTCCTGGGATCATAAGGACAAAAAGCTTGTATTTTTAAGGAAGGAAATGCCGGATAATAGGCGTGAAATTTTTAAGGAATATTTCTATAAGGATCATCAGAACAACAGGCGTGGATTTTTAAAGAATATTTCTATACGGACCAGCAGAATAAAAGGTGTGGATTTTTTAAAAAATATTTCAACAAGGACCAGCAGGATATTTGGCGAGGCTTTTATAACTATAAGGACCAGCAGGATATTTTCTATAAGGACCAGCAGGATATTTGGTGTAGGACAAAAGGCTTGGATTTTTTAAAGAATATTTCTTCTAAGACCGGACCAGAACAATAGGCGTGGATTTTTTAAAGAAAATTTATACTAGGACCGATCCAGGACAATAGGCGTGGATTTTTAAAGCATATTTCTACAAGGACCATCAGAACAATAGGCTTGGATTTTTAAAGCATATTTCTACAAGGACCAGCAGGATAATTGGCCTGGATTTTTTAATGAGTGTTTCTACAAGGACCAGCATGACAGTAGGCGTGGATTTTTTAAAGAATATTTCTAAAAGGACCAGCAGGATAATTAGCCTTGATTTTTTAATGAGTGTTTCTACAAGGACCAGCCGGATAATTGGCCTGGATTTTTAATGAGGACCAGCAGGATAATTAGCCTTGATTTTTAATGAGTGTTTCTACAAGGACCAGCTGGATAATTGGCCTGGATTTTTAAATGAGTGTTTCTACAAGGACCAGCAGGATAATTGGCCTGGATTTTTTAATGGGTGTTTCTACAAGGACCAGCAGGACAGTAGACGTGGATTTTTTAACGAATATTTCCACAAGGATTGCGAGGACAAGGGGCCCGGATTTTATTAATGAATGTTTCTACAAGGATTATATGGACAAGAGATCTGGAGATTCCTTAACAAAATAATAGTTTTACAAGGATTATAATGAAAGCGGCCCGGATTTTTTAAAGAATAATAGGCAGGATAATGGGTGATTTTTTAATGAGTGTCTCTACAAGGACCAGCTGGATAATTGGCCTTGATTTTTTAATGATTGTTTCTACAAGGACCAGCAGGACAGTATACGTTTAAAGAATATTTCCACAAGGATTACGAGGACAAGGGGCCTGGACTTTTTTAATGAATGTTTCTACAAGAATTATATGGACAAGAGATCTGGAGATTCTTTAAAAAAGAATAGTTTTACAAGGATTATAATGAAAGCGGCCTGGATTTTTAAAAGAAGAATAGGCAGGATAATGGGTGTGGATTTTTTAATGAATATTGGATAGGATGGATTCTTTAGGCGAGGATTTTGAAAAATATTTTTCCAAAGACCCCAAGACTTAGATTATTTCAACATGTTTTTCCCAAGTCCCTATTGCCTGGATGGTTTAAAAAATATATTTTTAAGACCCCCATAGTGTGGATGGTTTAAAAATACTTTTTCAAGCGACTCCCACAAGGCATTTTTAAAGAATATTTTTTCTAAAATCGTAAATTTTTCAATTATTATTTTTCCACGGCATTCGCAAGGTATTTTAAAGATTTTTTTTTCCAAATCTCCAAGGCGTGTCTCCGAAATGAATTTTTTTCATAGTAAATTTATGTTTGCAACAGCGAATTTTTTTCATTTTTTACTATCGGCTTGAATTTTTAAAGAATAATTTTCCAAAGTATCCAAGGTATGTTTAAGGAATATTTTTCGAAGTCTCCAAGGTCTGTGTGTTTAAAGAATAGTTTTCCAAAACCTTAATTTTTTAAGGATTTTTTTCCTGGCGTTCTTTTAAATTATGTCTTTATTCGCCTTTTATTACGGATAACTCCTCCTCCTCCTCCTTGTTTCAACCTCCTTCCGCTACCACCCTAACCATATAAATTATAATGAAATTATATGAGAACAACTAACAAATTATAGCCAACCTGAATGTCTTTAAGTTCTGCCTCTACCATTTCTTCTTCTACGACAACAGCTGACTACAAAAAAAAAGCGGCAACAACATTCCCTGTTCGCTTAATTTCACCGTGCCGTGTAAGGCAATAAATTGTCTTTTCTGCACTTTTGCACATAAATAAAAATGGAAATTAAATTTTTATTTAAAGCTGCAGAACAACAGTCACAACAACAAGGATATCATCAACATCGTCGTTGTTGTTGTTGTCACCATCATCATCATCATCATCCTCGTCCTCATCAGGAACAGCAGCAAAGGCAGCTCTGTGTCACAGAACGCCATAATGGTCGTCATTGTCATCGTTGTTCGCTGGATGGATGGATGATGGTTATTGTCGTTGACTTTCACTTGCCAGGCTGGCAGTTAGTTCCTCCACTTTATCCCTACCTCCCACATGATGCATGGAGTTTTTTGCGTTCACATTGTCGTTGTTGTCGTTTTTTGCAACAGCACTTAACATTATTAATGAAATAATATCTGCCTATATAGTATTGCCTCTGTAAAGCCAGAGTTGCCATGTGTAACAAATTTATAAAGGGGAAATCCAAAGGCAGAATGCAAAAGAAAACGGAATTCGGACTTCTTTAAAAATCATTAAATGAAAATTTATTTTTTCAAGGACTATATGAGGCGGGAGATTTTAAATAACATTTTCCAGGGTCTATATGAGGCGTGGAGATTTTAAATAAATTTTTTTCAGAGTCTATATTAGGTGTGGAGATTTTAAATAATATTTTTTCAGTGTCTATATGAATTGTGAATTTGTTAAATATTTTTTCATAATATTATGTCACAAATTTGTTACTTGTTCAGATTTTTATGCTCAATATTAATACAAACTTTTTTTTAATTTTTTTCTCTTCTTCCTCCTCCTCCTGGGGATTTCCTGATTTTTCTCTCTCCCCCACCCCCACTTAATAGCAACATGGTATTGGAAAAATGGCACGAAGAATATGTGCAACTGCGTGACATTATTGATAAATGCCTTTTGCGTATGCTTCGCAATGGTGCGATAGGCGGAGGAGCAGGAGGAAATGCAGCAACAACAACAACAACGCCACTCACAGCCGATATGCAACAACATTTACAAAAGTTAAGGCAAACACAAATGGAACAGGAAGTGTTAAAAGCATTGGGTAAGTAAATTGTGCCACATGAAGCAGCCATACCACCCATCCCAACTGCCAGCAGTCATCCAGGCCACCTTGTTTTTTCCCCCAGTGAGCCTATTAGTCACCTCCGCCCCATTCCATATATAAAGTTATAAACTTTAAATGGCCATTAAATGGGAAAGACAAGCAACCATTCATTTATTCATTAAAATCGATGCATGAAAGGATGAATGGATGGTTGGTTGGTCTGTCGGTGGGTACGATGGTTGGGAATGCTAGTCCTTGAATTGATGTCGCATTGGTGTCCTTTTTTTATTATTTCATTCAAATAATTTAATCAATTTACCTCTCTCTCCCTTTCTTCCTCTCTGCTTGCTCCCTCCTACCCCATGGCATTCACATTACAACATCTTAATTGATGGCGATTGTTTGTTCTCTTCATTATCCTCGCATTCGAAACAGATTTGTCAAATGAAAAAATATTGGCCGTCTATCGGGAATGGTCATCGACTCAATTGTCGGTCAAGGATGCCGAGAGTGCGGAACGTTTGAGTAAACTTAAAGATCAGCTGACAATGAATTTATCGACAGATAATTATACAACATTGGTGTAAGTATAAATCAAATTTAAAGGGTAATCGGGATCAGACCTTTTTTCTCGGCATATAACGAAGAATTTTGGGGGGGGACTATAAGAGGCGTGGTTTTATTAAAGAATAGTTTTTCAAGGACTATAAGAGGCGTGGATTTATTAAAGTATAGTTTTTCAAGGACTATAAGAGGCGTGGATTTATTAAAGAATAGTTTTTCAAGGACTATAAGAGGCGTGGATTTATTAAAGAATAATTTTTCAAGGACTATAAGAGGCGTGGATTTATTAAAGAATAGTTTTTCAAGGACTATAAGAGGCGTGGATTTATTAAAGAATAGTTTTTCAAGGACTATAAGAGGCGTGGATTTATTAAAGAATAGTTTTTCAAGGACTATAAGAGGCGTAGGTCCGTATGAGGCGTGGATTTTTATGGAATAATTTTTCAAGGGCTATAAGAGGCGAGGGTCCGTATGAGGCGCGGATTTTTATGGAATAATTTTTCAAGGGCTATAAGAGGCGAGGGTCCGTATGAAGCGCGGATTTTTATGGAATATTTTTTCAAGGGCTATAAGAGGCGAGGGTCCGTATGAGGCGTGGATTTTTATGGAATAATTTTTCAAGGGCTATAAGAGGCGAGGGTCCGTATGAGGCGTGGATTTTTATGGAATAATTTTTCAAGGGCTATAAGAGGCGAGGGTCCGTATGAGGCGCGGATTTTTAAGAAATACTTTTCCAGGGTCCGTATGAGGCGTGGATTTTTAAGGAATACTTTTCCAGGGTCCGTATGAGGCGTGAATTTTTAAGAAATACTTTTCCAGGGTCTAAACGAGTGGATTTTTAAGGAATATTTTTCTAGTGTCTAGTGTCCAGGATCCATACGAGGCGTAGTTTTTTTTAAAGAATATTTATCGAAGGTCTATACGAGGCGTGGATTTGTACAAGAATATTTTACAGGCTACATATGAGGCGAGGATTTTTAAGGAATATTTTTTTATCAGGTTCTTAATACGTCTTCCTTTTCTTTCTCCCCAGAGTACCTGGTAATTGTTGTGATACTGGCATTGATCCCGACATTGAAGAGCACGAAACCTATTTGAGTAAATTTAAGAATAAAGTCTTCGATAAGCTGCGACATCTAATTGAGGAGCACATCGCCAATGATCCGGATGTTATAAAGGGGCGAAAAAAGACTGTACAGGTAAGTAGGTGTTGAAACGTCCTTCACAGCAAAAAGTGACACTGGTCTGAAACAAAAAAAACTAAACCCTTAACTGGCCTCTATGGTTGGCAATCAATCATATAGTACCCTGTCAATGGAAAGAGCGCATAGAGGAGAATATAAATCTCAGTTGATGCTTTCGTAATCCACCTGTGCTCAAATCATAGCCAGCCTAGAAAAAAATTAAAAAAAATATATGTGGCCAAAAAGTTTGTCCAGTTCTGGGTATATCCAAAGGTATATCCATCAGTGTTTTGTTTTAGCCACCATCAACAACTAGCCAACATTGTATTGGGCTGTGATATCCTTTTTTGGGTTATTTGGTTGCAGATGGGGAAAAACCATTTCCTTTTTTTGTGTTTCAATGTGTGAGTGGGTGTTCCGCAACAAACATTTTGCCTCAATGTATTGGATTTTTCGTTCCAATTTTTTTTGCTGGAGGACGTGGCAAACTTTTTGGGTTTTTCTCGTTCGCCATTTCATTTGAAAATAGCTCGAACAACACCAGTAATGGAGGTGATTTGAGGTTATTTGGTTGGTTAGCCGGCTAGCTGGTTGGTTGGCTGGCTGCAACGTTGCAATGTCTATTTGCATGCAAGATTTGCCACAATTTGAAATGTAAGTTTGCGGTAAAGGTTGTTGTTTTTGTATTCAATGCTTGGAAATATTGCATGCGAAATTTTCATATTGGAGAAAAGACTGGGGTTTTGAAAAATTAAATTAAAAAAATATTGTGGAAATACATATTCGAGTTTTGTTGTAGTTGCGATGGTAGATTCAACTGCATGTTCACTCATATCGGAATATGTAAACTGCAAGGCCACCACATTTAATCAGTCATTCCAAAGGCTTTCAGCTGTTGAAAACTTTGAATGTTCAGTTCAATTTATTAACGATGATTGATTGCCATCAAAGAAATTGGGCGTGGCGTGGACTTATTAAGAAATATTTTTGCAGGCGTGGATTTATTAAAGTATATTTTTCAAGGGCCAACTGAGGCGTAGATTTATTAAAGAATATTTTTCTAGGGCCAACTGAGGCGTGGATTTATTAAAGAATATTTTTGTAGGCCTTGGAAGAGGCGTGGATTTATTAAAGAATATTTTTCAAGGGACTATAAGAGGCGTGGATTTATTAAAGAATATTTTTTCAAGGGACTATAAGAGGCGTGGATTTATTAAAGAATATTTTTGTAGGCCTTAGAAGAGGCGTGGATTTATTAAAGAATATTTTTCAAGGGACTATAAGAGGCGTGGATTTATTAAAGAATATTTTTGTAGGCCTTGGAAGAGGCGTGGATTTATTAAAGAATATTTTTCAAGGGACTATAAGAGGCGTGGATTTATTAAAGAATATTTTTCAAGGGACTATAAGAGGCGTGGATTTATTAAAGAATATTTTTCAAGGGACTATAAGAGGCGTGGATTTATTAAAGAATATTTTTGTAGGCCTTAGAAGAGGCGTGGATTTATTAAAGAATATTTTTCAAGGGACTATAAGAGGCGTGGATTTATTAAAGAATATTTTTGTAGGCCTTAGAAGAGGCGTGGATTTATTAAAGAATATTTTTGTAGGCCTTAGAAGAGGCGTGGATTTATTAAAGAATATTTTTGTAGGCCTTAGAAGAGGCGTGGATTTATTAAAGAATATTTTTGTAGGCCTTAGAAGAGGCGTGGATTTATTAAAGAATATTTTTGTAGGCCTTAGAAGAGGCGTGGATTTATTAAAGAATATTTTTGTAGGCCTTAGAAGAGGCATAAAAAAATAGTTCTAATCCTTTTGCTGTGAATTAATCTCCAAATCCAATTTTTCTTCTCTTTTTTTCAAATAAAAAATACACCATTCTAATCCTTTCATAACCAAATGCACTCAAAATAATATTCTTCTAAACTTGTATGGCGTATTTACTTTATAAGTTTATAATGAATTTATATTTCATGCATATTCGTATAGATGTAACGACTGTCATTACAGCCAAGTCTGTTACATGGGGCGGGGCAGGTGATTCCATTGCGAATGCAGGTTTTTATACCCTTCATCACACTGTGGTACAGGGTATTATGTCTTTTTGTATATGTTTGTAACAGGCAAAAGGAAACGAGATAGACACAGGGTTCCTTTTGAGTATATGCATAGAATCACGAAATTTGGCATAGCGTACTGAATCGAGTCTGGAATGGTGTGTATTAAGTTTTGTGAAAATCGGTTCAGATTTAGATATAGCTCCCATGTATATTTTCGTCCGATTTTAGGTAAAAAGTGCACCAAAGTCTCTATATATTTTTCGATTTGCACGAAATTTGGCATAGCGTACTGAATTAAGACTATAGTGATGTGTGTTAAGTTTCGTAAAAATTGGTTCAGATTTAGATATAGCTCCCATATATATTTTCGTCCGATTTTAGGTAAATAGTGCACCAAAGTCCCCATACATCTTTCGATTTGCACGAAATTTGGTACAGCGTACTGAATTGAGTCTAGAATGGTGTGTATTAAGATTCGTGAAAATCGGTTCAGATTTAGATATAGCTCCCATATATAGTTTCGTCCGATTTTATGTAAATGGTGTACCAAAGTCCCTTTATATCTTTCGATGTGCACGAAATTTGGCACAGCGTACTGAATTAAGTCTATAGTGATGTGTGTTCAGTTTCATGAAAATCGATTCAGATTTGTATATAGCTCCCATATATAGTTTCGTCCGATTTAAGGTAAATACTGCACCAAAGTCCCTATATACCCTTCGATTTGCACGTAATTTGGCACAGCGTATTGAATTGAGTATAGAATGGAGTGTATTAAGTTTCGTGAAAATCGATTCAGATTTTGATATACCTCCCATATATAGTTTCGTCCGATTTGAGGTAAATACTGCACCTTCGATTTGCATGAAATTTGGCATAGCGTACTGAATTAAGTCTATGGTGATGTGTGTTCAGTTTCGTGAAAATCGGTTCAGATTTTGACATAGCTCCCATATATATTTTCGTCCGATTTTAGGTAAATAGTGCACCAAAGTCACTATATATCTTTCGTTTTGCACGAAATTTGTCATAGCGTACTGAATTGAGTCTAGAATGGTGTGTATAAAGTTTCAGGAAAATCGGTTCAGATTTAGATATAGCTCCCATATATATTTTCCTCCGATTTTAGGTAAATGGTGCACCAAAGTCCCTTTATATCCTTCGATGTGCATGAAATTTGTCATAGCGTGTTTAGAATGATGTGTGGTAAGTTTAGGATCGGTTCAGATTTCTATGTAGCTCTCACATATTCATATATATTCGTCCGATTTTACATAAATGGTTGTCCGATTAACACGACATTTTGAACAGTGTATCAAATTGGGACTTGAATGACGTTATTGGGTTTTGTTGAAATTGGTGCTGATGCAGCCATAGCTTCCATATGCATTTCGAATGGGTGTCTGATTGAAATTAAATTTTTAGCAGTGCGGCGTACCGAATATCGTGTATCAAAACGTTTTCCATAAATTTATCCCATGGTATGCAGACGACTCCAAATCTGCCCGAATAAAATTAAGTTTATCATAGGTTGTAGAAAGACATGCATATGTTCCTTCGAGGCAACATTGACATGCAAATGTAAGGATACATATGCGCAATATACCCAAAGTGGTGAAGGGTATCATATAGTCGGTCCGACTTTTTTACTTTCCTTACTGGTTTCATTTCTTCCTCTTCTCCATCGACGAGTTTTAGTTGCTTTGCAAATAAGAACTGAGCAATGATAACCTTGATGCTGGTTGGCAAACTAAATTTAATAGCAGCAAGATTTTGTTGAACAGGACAAAAAGATGCTTTGCATGCTGCCTATGCATATTTTTTTCAAGGACATTTTTTTCTCATATAGACTAAATGGAATTTAGAATTAGAGAAATGTTTGAACATTTTTTTTGCTCAAATAGTAACAGATTTAGTTATGTAGAATAATTTGAAGCATTACTAGGAAGGTAAATTGTCGAGGATATTAAATATATCATTTTTTTTTCTTTTTAATTATGTAAAGGTATAATGTGATGCACAACTAAAAGGACTGAGCCTTCCCAATTTTCTTGGAATTGAAAAAAATATAACTTGACTTTCGAATCCAATGTAATTTTTTGAGATTTGTAGAGAAACTTTTTTTAATGTGCATTACAAAAAAATACGTTTCCTTTTGAATACACAAGTCTTACTAAAACCAAACAAATCAAAATGAGAATTTAAAATAAACCGCAGGATTAATAGGACACACTAAACCACCATAGATTTTTTTTTCAACAAAACTTAATTAACATTTCAAATTGCCGTTTTTAATTAAATATCAACATAAATGGACTATTTAATTGACTTAATTAATAAAAATCAAGCATGAAAAGACAACGACGAAATAATTAAATAATGGAAATGAAAATTAAAAAGCAGCCAGGACCCCTTTTTCCACAAGCCTAACTAAGAAATAAAAATGAGAATAAAAACAGCAACAAAAACCCTGAGTAGTTTTTAATAAATGACACACAAATTTATAAAAATGCGGACTACCATTTTAACCTTGTGCCACCATGTGAAGGATACAAATCGCCTGCCATTAAAAGTTCTTTACGTACTCCTTTACGGGTCTTCATTTGTAAGCGCCATTCTAACCAAAAGAACTCCAAAACGAAAAATGAAAGACCCACCGACCCATTTCACGTTGGGCCATTTCATTTAAATATGTTTTTAATGCCTTACTGACTTGCCTCACCGCAAGACCTCATACCCCCTCCTCGTCCGTTCTTTTTCCATTACACAATTGCCGCAGAGAACACATGTGTTTCTCCGTTTCAATTTGGCTGAGATTATATTTAATATTTATAACCAAATTTCGTGGACCTACCAAACAACCAACCACCCTCCCTACCTCCCTGCACAAAAAGAGAGTCATGTGTGCATGCATATGTGAACCGTACTCTTTGGCCCCCGGAATGATGATAACAATTTCTTGCTAAGAATATGTATATTAGTGTGTGTGTGAGCGTGCGTGATATGTTTGTCCACCATTCGGCATATGGAAACAATGACGTAGTCATTTGCTTTTAAGTTTTTGAGGTAAAAATCAAGTGAAGCCCACATTTTGTAGTTCTTATGGTGAAAGTGTGTTAAAAATTTCACATTTCGAATGATTGAAGTAACCTTCTACGTTCTTGATCCCCTACTACCACCCTGCCACGCGAAACCATAACTTATATTCGTCGTATGTCTGTGTGTCATTTTATTCATTCATGTGCTTGTCTTGAACACTTTTTCTCCATTTGGGGTCCTGTCAGCCGGTTGGTACTTGAGATCGTCCTCCTAAGTCATTTCATAACGGACATACACATTTGCATTTCTTGTTCACAGTTGTTGTTGTTCTTGATGATTTTATTTGTTGTTTTTATAGTTGTTGTTGTTGCTTTTTTCCTTTCGTTGTCGCAAGCACTCAGTAAATTGGATTTTTCCATTAGATTTTTATTTCTTATTTTTAAATTCTTTGCACCGCTCAATTTCTTATGCATTTTCAAGGTAGTTGCAGACGGACATTGGGGTGGAGGGGGGTAATTTCTACAATAATTTGGTATTTTCGAAAGAGGACCTTAATGATTGGAGGTTCTATCTGAGGAAGGTCTTCTAAATGATTTAACGAAGGCCTTCTAAGCATAGTTTGGAACTGGCAAAGATATTCCATCTATAGACCTTCTGCAGAAGATATTTTATTGATAAAGGGCTGGAGTAGAATAGTCGAAGTAAATATTTTGTACCCTTATTAGGTGGAGAAGATATTCGGTCTAAAACATAACATCTTATAGACCGGAAAAAGTTCAAGCAAGCAAAAAATTTATTAATTGGTTTATACTCTCCGGATCCTCCTCCGCCATGTAGGGTGAATTCACAATTCCCCAAATTGGATTTTTCCATTAGATTTTTATTTTCTATTTTTAAATTCTTTGCATCGCTAAATTTCTTATGCATTTTCAAGGTAGTTGCAGACGGGCATTGGGGTGGAGGGGGGAATTTTTCTAAAATAATTTGGTATTTTCGAAAGAGAACCTTAATGATGGGGGTTCTATCTGAAGAAGGTCTTCTAAATGATCTGACGAAGTTCTTCTAAGCATAGTTTGGAACTGGCAAAGATATTCTATCTATAGACCTTCTGCAGAAGATATTTTTATCGATAAAGGGCTGGAGAAGAATAGTCGAAGTAGATATTTTGTCCACTAATTAGGTGGAGAAGATATTCTGTCTTAGAAACATAACATATTATAGACCGAGAAGAGCTCAAGCAAGTAAATGGTCTATTAAGGTTTGTCGGATCGATCTTTTTATACCCTCCTCCAGCATGTCGAGTAAATTAACAATTCCCTAAATCGCTCGGAATTAAATAGCTAGTTATGCTGTGAGAAAATTATAGGCAGTCAGGTTGGAAGAATGGGCGGCGAGCTTTAACATACCTTTATGGATAATATTCGATGGTGAATCCGGTATGCCATATTACAGCAACTTCGGTCGGAAAATTGAAGCTAAAACCTTAACAATATCCAAAATAAAGCGGGATCTTTATAGGGAAACTAGTAAAAATGTGGACCCATATCGAACAAAAAATTAAAAAAGAAGATTACAGTCACATCGGTGAGAAAATGCGGCTGTAACCTTCCAAACACCGAAATTGGAGAGGAGGGTTATGCCAAAACTAGGGCCTATATAGAATATTTTCTTCAAGAATCCGAATGCCAAATTTCTGGGAAAGTAGGGCTAAAACCTTTAAAATAACAAAAATGAGAAGGAACATTTAAATGGGAGCTGTGTCAGAATATGGACCCTTATCGAAAAATGTCAAGTAATGCATTTCACCTATTAAGAACCCGCAATGACAAACTACAACCCCTTCGGTTTGAAATTTCTTCTATAAAACCTTCAAAATACTGAAAATAGACGGGACCATTTTATGCAGCCTATGTCAAAATATGGACCTTATCAAGGGAAGCTATATCAAAATAAGGACCCAAATAAAAAATTGTTTACATAGGGAAAGAGTTTACATGGGAAAAGACCGGTTAAAACCACCAAAATATCGAAAACAGGAACATGAAGGTCATCTACCATTTGTTGTCTATAAAAACCTCAGTCAACCTCGAGAAGGTCTTATAGACATAAATGCTAAGAAAGATCGCTCAAAGATTTTCTGTATAAAAAATATTTCCGGATCATCTTTCGGACGTCTATTATTAAAAAAATCTCGTATACATCTGGAAGGTCTTTTAGACTATTGAGGGGTTCTGTAAAGTCTTCGGTCTATAAAAAACCTCTAGAAGTTCGTTTATGGATAAAAATAACTTCGGAACCTATTTTTATAGGTTTTTTTTTATTTTTATAGAAGTCTTCTAAATTACATTCAATCTACACATCGGATAGGCCTCATAAACCACTTGAAAGTCTTTGTAGCCTTCTATTGATGATCAGCATACCGCAGAAATAAAACAAGCAGGCCTTTGACGAGTTCTATTATTTCATAGAGGAACTTCTGTAAAATACAGCATATTCTGGAGGTTCTCTGTCAGCATCTAGAAGGCATCTAAGGCCTTCTGTTAACTATAGAAGGTCACAGAGATGTTAAGGTCGCATGTTAAGTTACAGGATGTCCATTGGACATTATGTTAATATACAGAAGACTTTCGAAGTTATCTGTTAATTTACAGAAGAACTTCTGTATAATACAGGAATTCTATGAGACATTATTTAGCATCTACAGAAGCCTTTTAACACCTCCTATTAAACATTTGAGACAAACAGGAGACATTTTTAAGGCATTCCGTTAATTAGCAGATTAAGGCATTAATTCTGCAAGGAACCTAATATTTCTAAGAATTTTTATTAGCATCTATATGACCTTCTGTTAATTACAGAAGCCGTTTAAGCCTCCTGTTAATTTACAGGATGCCGTTCTATTAACAATCGGAGGCTATTTGTTAATTTACAGAAGATATCAGGGGTTTTCTATTAACAAACATAATAAATTTGATGACTTATGTCACTTTACAAAAGATCAAAAACAAATATCTTAATATACAGAATATCTCCGATGATTTATGTTAACACACTGATGAACCTCTAAGACTACTATTCTGGTAAAAAACTCTGGATAATTATGTTAACATGCTGTTAATATACAAAACACAATATATCTGAGGACTTCTGTTAATATACAGAAGACGATTAAAACAAAATGTAAATACTTTTGGGACCTCCTTCGTAGTACAGAAAACACTAATTCGTTCTGTTAACATAGGCATTCTGTTAATGTACAGAAAAGTGTTGAGAAGGTCTCTGAAGGCACAGGTTATTATTTTGTGTATGTTAATATACAAACGAATATTTCTGTGGACTTCTGTTAATATGCAGAATATCATTGAATATCATATGTTCTTATACAGAAGACTTTAAGTTATTCTGTAAATATACATAAGGTATATGAAGTCTTTTTTTACCTAAGAGACATTCAAAAATGTTCTGAAGTCTTCTGTTGCCACATAGAACAACTTTGAGGGCTTTAGTTGGCATATGTTAATGTACATCGGAACTATGGACGCTCCAGTCAATATTCGAAAGATTTTTAGTCATTCTGTTGCCATACAGAGGATTCCTGATGCATTTTATGAATGTACAGAATAACTAATGTTAATATACAGATGATAGCTAACACATTATAAAGAAGAAGTATAAGGGCTTATGTTAATATTTATAAAGGAATAGGTTTTCTGTTGATGAAATACGTCACATGAGACCTTTCTGTTTGTATATGTTAATACATATATATATATATATATATATATATGTAATAAAAATTATGACCCTTTTCAAAATGTCCTTTTCTACTTTCAGGAAATTTTTCACGAACATGCCACCCATTTGCGTATCCTAAAAGAACATGAGGATGCAGGAGCTCTAATAAAATCCAGTGTACCCGAACGATTGAAGAACAATTTAATGGCCAATTTTCGCAATGGAAGTCGACATGCACCCTACTTCATTTACGGCGGACATGGCAGTGGAAAGAGTGCCATTATGACAGCCCTGTATAGAGATGTCAAGAATTGGTTCCAACCCAATTGCCGGGTGCATCGCGTGATACGCTTCGCCTCGGCGACACCACGCTCCGCTTACAATTTAGAATTGCTGCGTGTCATTTGCCAACAAATCTCAATTATTTACAATATACCCGAAGGCTATTTACCCAAAGATGCTTCATTCGATCCGCTCTACATTAACAATTGGTTCCAGAATCTGCTGCGTCGCATCGAAGATATGAATAATGATGTGCTGTTTTTGTTCATCGATGATTTGCATTTATTAAACCCCTTGGACTGTGATATTGTTGCGGCCCTGTCGTGGTTACCCACCTCGTTGCCGTGGAATGTTCAGTTGATATGCTCAACCACTTTGCCGGTGGAACAGTTGAAATTCACCCCCATGCAAAGGGATCGTTTTAAGTCAATGGAATATCTATTTGATTTGGCTGTGGAGGAAAATCGAACGGAACTTAGGAAGCAATCGACGGGAGACAATAATCTAACATTTACTCAATTCATAGAGCAGCAATTTGACGAGTTGGAGCAGCGTTATGGTCGCAAAGGGTTTGCCCGCTTGGCTTCGTATTTGACACTATCGGAATTTGGTTTATCCGAAACGGAACTATTGGAACTACTAATGCCCATCGATGATCCAGAGGCTCAAATTGAAACGGAGAAGGGAAATTTTTGTTTTTCTTCGTTCAAAAAGATACACAAGGAAATGAGTAAGTCGAAGGACCAAAACCCCTCTTTATATATCCTTTACATCTTATAAATATATATTTTTTCTTCTTTGTCTCTTTTCCTCATTCTCCCCAAGGTTTCCTTTTACGTGATAAAATAATGTCCGCCAAAGTTTTAATCCACTGGCGTTACCCATACTGCAAAGAGTTGGCCCGCAGCCGCTATTTGGACGCCAATACGATACGCTCAATGCACATTGCCATTGCGAACATATTCTTTCCCGCCGAAAATGATGATCAGGATGAAGAGGATGATGAGGACGATAGTACAGAACGTGAAGGTGACAGCGATCGACAATCGTTGGCTAGCCAGACAACAATTAAAGATAAAGATAATTCATCGGCGACGGGACGTAAATCATCGGCACCTCATCATAACGATGACACTTCGACATTTTATAATCCCATGGCTGCTGATGTTTCGTACAGTATGCGTCACGTCGAAGAGAGTTGGCATCATTTAATGCGTTCCGATGATATGGATAAATTTAAGCAGATAGCTGTGTGTAATTTTGATTTCCTCTTAGCAGCGGTAAGTGGGACATTTTTTGGTGATTATTTATTTTTATTTTTAAATATTTTGTAAAATATCGAGGACTTGAGTTATGATCGGTATTTGGAATATCAATTACCCTGTTACCAGGTCACATTACTTCACAATTCATCATAACAGTTTTCGGAAGCATTTGTTATTTTATAGAAGCTCCAGCCTTTTGTTACTTTACAAAATCTCTGAGATCAGATATTGAACCGAGACCCTAAGTGACCTTACTTCAATATTCAGATGCCTCAATGATCTTCTGTTTTCCTAATGAAGCTTTCAGATGCATTCTCTATCTTTACAACAGCCGCAGCGATTTTATTTTACAGGGCACTAAAGGCTTCGACGAAGCAAACCACAGTTCGACCTTCAGTAACCTAAAAAAAAGGCATGTTAGAAATTCTGTTGCTTTACAGAAGTTCTCCGAAATCTTTACGCGGTTTATGGGTTGGCTCTATGACATTCAGTAACAGAAACCCTTCTGTAAAGTACAGTGTTTACTTCTGTTAGACCACAGAAGACAACTGAGGCCCTCTGTTAATATCTAGAATGCCTCTGAGGACTACTGTTAATATGCAGAAATGTCTTTGATTCTATGTTAACGTACCGACAGCTTCTGAAGCCTTCTGTTAATTTACGGAAGTCTTAGAGGACTTCTGTTGATATACAGGACGCTTATGTTAATATACAGAAGAATTCTGTTAATATAAAGAATACTTCTGTTAATACATAAAAGAGTTCTGTTAATTTACAGAACACCTCATAGACATTGTTTTAATTAACAGAAGTCTTCCACGCTGATATCAGAATAAATCGGGTAGCTTTTGCTAATTTTCAAAAGACTCAGAGGGCTTAATGTACAGAAGCCTTCTGTTAATACAGCAAAGACTTCTGTTTATTTACAGAACACCTCAGTTTTAGTTTACAGAAGACTTCAAAGACTTTCTGTGGATATCAGAATAACTTGGAGTACTTTTATAAATTTACAGAAAACTCTGAAACCTACCGAATACTTTTGAAGATTTCTGTTAAATTACATAACATCAGGCATATTCTTTTAAATTTGGCCAATAATTAATGTTCATTTACATAAGACTTAAAAGACCTTCTGTTAATACCCAGAAGTATTCTGTTAATTTACAGAGATCTTCTTTTATTGCACAGAAAACTTCGGTTAATGCACAGAAAAATTCTGTCAAAATACTGAAGACTCCTGTTTATTTACAGAACACCTCAGAGATGTCTTTTATGTTAATTTACAAAACTCCTCAGAGGTCTTCTTCTAAATTACTGAAGACTACAACATCATCCTTTTAATTTATGTACGACTTTAGAAGCATACTGTTAATTTACATATGACTTCAGAATCCTTCTGTTAATTTACAGAATATTTCAAATGCCCTATTTCCATTAAAATTATATTTTAAAAGCCTTCTGTTAATTAACATAAGTCTTCAGATGCCTTCTGATAATTAACATAAGACTTCAAAAACCTTCTGTTAATTTACAGAAGACTTAGAGGCCTAATTTAAGTTTACATTAGATTCTGAGTTCTTCCGTTAATTTACATACGACTTCAGATGTCATCTGTTAATATACAGAAGATTTCAAATTTTTTATTTTCTTCTAATCTTCTGTTAATTTAAATACCACGTCGAAGACTTTCTGTTAACTTACAGAAGACTCTAAAGGTCCTATTTTCATTTACATAATATTTTAGAGGCCTTCTGTTAATTATCATAAGACTTAAGAAGCCACCTGTTAATTTCTATATGACTATATGGGCTGTATTTTAGTTTACATAATTACTTATGTTAATTCTCATAAGACATCAGAGGACTTCTGTTAAATTAACAGACGATGGTAGAGACATAATGTTAATTTACAGAAGTATATTGAGGTCATCTGTTGATTTACAGAAAACTTCAAAACATTATCTTATTAATAAAAAAATTTCCTGAGGCATTCCGTTAATAAAACATTTTCGAATTCATTTTTTAATTTATGTAAGCCTTTATTTTAAGGAAGACCTCCGTAACTTCTGTTGATTTGCAGAGAGCTTGAGAGATTTTCTAAAAAAAATAAAACCTAAAAAGTCCAGTGCGTCCCGAAGAACTCTAAGACCTACTGTTAAACAATTTAAAATACCGAATATGTGACATTCTATTAATATTCAGAAGATCTGTGAGATCTTCCACTAACATACGTCATACCTAATATTTAAGAATTTAATATATAAAAGTCTTCTTACGCTTTCTGAAAAATCCGCGAAGACCTCTGGTGAGTTATATTGATATTCCGAAGCGATTTGACATTCTGTTAATATTCAGAAGACCTGTGAGAGCTTCCACTAACATACGTCATAGTTAATGTTAAGGAATTTAATATATAAAAGTCTTCTTAAACATTCTGAAAAATCCGCAAAGACCTCTAATGATTTATATTGATATTTCGAAGACATTTGAAATCTTCTGTTCTGAAACCTACTGTTATTTTACATTATACCCCCTGTTAACATACATATGACATCTGAAGACTTCTGTTGCATACATCAAGCTCTGTTTACATGCCGAAAAACTTCTGAAAGCTATCGGTTACACAAATAAAATCCCTTGGGAATTCTGTTAACACAAATAAGGCTTGCAGAAATTATGTTAATATACAGAATATACCTCAAGTATTCTGTTAACATAGAGAATACATTTTATACCTTATGTTAATATACAGTAGACCTCAGGGGCTGCTGTTTAGTAAACAGAAGATTTCTACCTACACAGGTTAACAAGAAGACCTCCTTGAAAGTTTTTAATAAATACAGAATATATTTGAGACTATCGCTTAATATACAGCAGACTTCTTATGTGTCATGTTAGTATGCAGAAGAACATTCAGATCCTCTGTTCGTACAGAGAATACTTCTATGACTCTCTGTTAACTTACAGAAGTCCTCTAAGATATTATGCTTATAAAGATGAATGTAGGATCAACGGTTAATACGAATTCTGTAGGCCTCTGTCCACTGAGGACTTATGTGTATATACAGATGAATGTAGGGTCTCCTGTTAGTATATATTAAACCTTAGATATTTTATATTAATATGCAGAATACCTCTGAGACTTTCTGTAAATATACAGAAGACCTCTGAGACTTTCTGTTAATATACAGAAGACTTCTGAAATCTTATGTTAATGTGCAGATTAATTAAGGGCCTTCTGTAAATATACATTAGACCTCAGAAATTTTGTATTAACCTTACAGAGGACGTCTGAGACTTTCTGTAAATATACAGAAGACCTCTGAGACTTTCTGTTAATATACAGAAGACCTCTAAGATCTTATGTTAATGTGTAGATGAATTAAGGACCTTCTGTAAATATACAGTAGACCTCAGAAATTTTGTATTAGCCTTACATAGGACATCTGAGGCTTTCTGTTAATATGCAGAAGGATTCTGCAGCGCTCTGTCAATGTACAGAAAAGCATATTTTGACCTAACTAGGACATGGATATTGTGAGAAGTTCACCTAGGCCTTCTGTTCATATATAGAAGATTTTAACCACAGGAGGCCTTTTACGATTATGTATTGCTCTCCCTCTCTGTTTTACTCGTTCTGACGATGCATGTAATTAAATAATTTGGTGCAACTAATTAACAATGTTGTAGCTAAAACAACAACAACCAAATAAATTGGCCACTCCCCACCTCCTATTTTATGTTAACTTTATAATTAATTTTCAGGTAAATTAACTGCAATTGTCAAACTGCAACAAAACAAACAAAATTTCCCAACACAACGGTGCATTTTATGGCAAAAGTTTTTTTTTCAAAAAAAGGAATAAAATACAAAAACCAATAACAAAAGTTATTGCAGAACATCAGTTACAGAGTCATACCACTACTCTGCTGCTGCTGTCGTTTGTCTATTTAGTCCTGGCCTGTCATCCTGGCCCTCTGTTGTTTAATTGTTAAGCCATGCTGAGGCTACACCCCATCAAACAACAGTTGGCTGGAATCCATTATTTCAATGTTGCATTGTTCAGTTCGGTTGCAACCGAACACGCAGCCAGCAATGTTATCTCATTACAAAGTTTCAACAATTGCAGGGCAGGCAGTCTGTTATTATTGCCGCTCTTCTGGTTGTTGTGTGCCGAAATTTTTTTATTTCATAGACACCATTTGTTGTTACATAAATATATAAACAGTTTTTGATGTTGTTGCTGCTCGCTGCTGTTTAGTAAATATGTGGCACTCGTCGACAGATATGAAAAACTTTTCGGAAAAACTTGATTTGTTTCTTTAGAATTTTTGTTGGGCGGGAAATTAAAATTGTTTTGACAGCAGTGAATGGCAATAGAGCCAGTTGACAATGAAGTTTAGGAATACTTTTGCATTTTGTTTATATTAAGAAAAAAATGGTCCGAACTTTGTGAGAAGGATTACAAGCAGGGAAGTTCAATTGTGGTTTAAATGTATCTTGTCGTAGATATTTGTACCTCTGTTAACCTACAGAAAATCTTATTTTGAAATATAGAACACTGTTGAGGTCTTCTGTTATATACAGAATAATTTTTAGGTATTCTGTTAATTTACATAAGTCCTCTGTGGCCTTCTGTTAATATACATTACAATTCTGCGCTTTTCTGCTAATAAACAGAATACCTCTGAAACGTTATGCTAACATACAAAATATCTCAGAGACCATATTTTAATATACAGATAATATCCGAGGTCCTCTGTTAATATACAGTATACCTCAGAGATTTTTCTGTTAACACTTCGGAGGTTATATTTGGAGGTTGATGTTGAAATACAGATTTTTGAAGCCTTCTGTTATATACAGAATGCTTTTTAGCCGCTATGTTAATTTGCATAAAACCTTATGTTAATAAAAAGAAGAATTCTCCGCTCCTCTGTTTATAAACAGAATATCTCAGTAACCTTCTGTTAACATACAGAGATCAGCGAGACTTATGTTAATATACAAACGAC